GGTATGGGGAGAAAATCTAATTTTTTCCCTATTTATACCCCTTAGATGCTTGACCCTCGTTGCACCACACGTCCTCCATTTTCAGGTCTGATTTCGTTCCGAAATATTTAAATTTCGTTTCGGTTCAAATTCAAAATATTTTTATTTAAATTATTTTTCAATTTTAAAGTTTAATTCCAAATCTTGTTTTTAGGTCACGCAACATCCGATCTCCTCGTAAAATGTAAAAAATTTGACTGCATCAAAATTCAACGAAATTGACAAAATAACTAGATTTCGCGAGACGAATCTAAAGGTGAGGTTCATTTCGTTATTTGAGTTCTAAAAAAATTTGGCTTTTCAACCTGTACTGTAGTGGCTAATTTTGTTTTGTCATTTTTCATAAAAATTTAAGTTTATCCGGGTTTTACAATACAAACCCCAGTCAGATTGTAATCATAATCATATTTTTTTTTTGATGAATCGTTGATCGATAATTCAGCTAGCCAACAATAAATTTGTAACTACTTAAACTAAATTTGAAAGATTGAATCAAAGAGGTGTAATTGAGAAAGACAAAGTATAATTGCATCTTTAATTATGAGTGTCGAAATAACGCACTTTTCAATTATGATACATAGTGTTATTGTACAATTTTTAGATCCATGATGAAAAGAAAGTGTACAAGGAGCCGCATAAATAACTTTTTTTTTTTGAACAATGTTAGAATAAGTTATGGTATTAACCAAAATAGATGGAGGATTCTTAATCTAAGAAGCAAAAAACAAAAAGTGTTGCTACTTCTGATAGCTCTAATCCTTCAATACCAGAATTGGTAAACAAAAGAAACGACAGTGTTTCATATGGGGGCTTGGAGAGGCCAACTAGAAGGAAGGTTGTGAAAGAACGAGTAAGAAAATCAAAGAGTAAACTCTCTAAAGGCGATAATTCAAGTTCAACCTATTTCGTAAAATTATTTGAAGAATTAAAGGAGGAGAAAAAGATGTTGACGGAGAAGAAAGTCAAATTCATAGAAAAAATCATATTTTCAAAAACAAGTGCAACTAGCTCAAGAGAATGAACGACTAGCTGTTGAACAAGAGAAACTAGCTTAATAGAAATAACGACTAACCCATGATAAAGAGAAAATGCAAATGAAGCAATTGAAGGAAGAAGAGAGAATAATATTGATGGACACGAGTGTCATGCCTCCGACTCAAGTTAAATATTTTAAGCGTCGCCAAATGAAAATCATGGAAAAGAAGATGTAGTTCTTTCTTATTCGTATACTAACAATTTTTAAGTAGTAGTACAACAAACAAGTAATAAAACATTCCACGCATATTCCATAGGTGCTCGACTAAATCAATTTGAAGTCTCGAATGAGCGTTTCTGTCTCTAATTCAATGTTGAGTATGAGGAAATTGGAGTAGTTCTGAACTCTATTCAGATATCAATGAAGGAGTAAAAATTTCATCCGATGCATTATAACAAAAGTCTATCTCATTACCTTCCCTCTCATCTTTGACAATCATGTTATGCAATATTATACATGTCTTCATAATATTCTTAAGCACTTCAAATTTTCAGTAACGTGCTGGTCCACGAAGTATAGCAAATTGTGCTTGGAGCACTCTGAAGACTCTCTCAACGTCCTTTTTGGCTAACTCTTGAGCTTGTGCAAATTGTGTTTACTTATTGCTTCTTGGAGATAGAATTGATTTGACAAACGTTGCCCACTTTGAATGTATAATATTAGCAAGATAATGTCTCATAGTATAATATTTTCTGTTGACAGAGTAATTGACTGGAGGAGCCCTACCTTCCTAAAGAAGAGTAAAAACAGAAGAACGTTATTGCACATTGATATCATTCTGGGATCCGGGTAACCCAAAAAAGGAATGTCAAATCCATAAATCATATGAAGTCACCGTCTCTAAAATAATTGTTGGTTCATGGACATGACCAGAGTACATACCTTTCCATACTGTTGGGCAATTCTTTCATTTCCAATGCACGCAGTCAATGCTACCTAGCATTTCAGGAAACTCACATCTCTCACCGATTGCCAATAATCTAGTAATGTCTGTGCTGTTTGGTGACCTGAGGTACTCATCGGAATGAATTACTACTATGACCGATACAAATCTTTATAGACTTTCTATTGCGGTGCTTTCGTCGATTCTCACATAATCATCAGTGACATCTGTTGCAATTTCATAGGTAGGCCTTCTTATAGCGGCAATCGTCTTTTAAAGGGGAAACAAGTCAATATTTCCATGAGCATCCTTTTTTTGGATAAAATATGGATCATAAGCTTCCACCATAGATAAAATACAAACGAAAAGTGATTGATTCATTTAAAATCGCCTCTGAAATAAATTTGTGGGAGAGGTAGGCAATTTAGTAAAATAATTGTGATAAAATCTCTCATGTTCTTCAACTCGATTGTGAAAATAACAAAATGGCCAACGTATTACAGAGTTATTCTCGGTATTGAGTGTCTCAATTGTCATAGTAACAATCGCTAACATCTCCAACTCATCATCGGAGTCAGAATTGTTAAGAATCATCTTCAATTTAATATCACAAGTCATAGCACAGAAACAATATATAAGTGTAATATCAATAAAATAAATTTGAGGTATATGACAATGAGTAGGGGAAAGTCTTATACATTTTTAAAAATATGATTGTTGTAAAACTTAAATTTTGAAATTTTGATGATGTGGCACGACACCTCATCATGTCTCGTCATCATTATGACGCTTACGTATTAGTCCACGTGGTATTTTTGAATTATATTATTAAAAATTAGTTAAAGTTAATTATAATAGTTAGTTAAAATAGAGAGTATAGTTGGAGTAAACTTGAAAAAATAATTAATTAAAGTAGAAAATACAATATTTAAATATATTTCATCCGTTCCTAAATATCTGTTGTTTTACACAATTTTTTTTGTTCCATAATATCTATCGTTTAATGAAACCAAAGCAATGTATTAGTTTTTTATGAAGGTTAAGTGCATTTCATATTCTTTTCGTTCCCAATACGTATGAATAAGGGTATTTTAATCTTGTGTAATTATTTTTTATTCATATTAAAGCTATTTAATAATTTTTTTAATTTTTATATAAAAATTTTAAATGACAAATATTTAAGAATGGGGATTTTTTGGGAAGTTTGATGCACCGACAAGGTCAAACTTGTCCCTCAAAAAAGGCCAAATGACGTGACACATGTCAAGCCTCGAGCCATATGTTACATACACAATTTCAAGAGATTTAATAAATAAATAAAAAGTAGAATGGTGGAATAAAAAATTTTATTCGAGAGAAGTGAAAATCTCCAACAATTCAATTCGAGGTAAACCAACCTCCAAAACTTCAACTAGGAAATTTTTAACGTACATTTTAATTGATAGAAATATTTTTAAATACAAAAATGATAAAAACTATTTTAATATACAACTTAACTCATGTCTCCACTATTCAATTAACCCCTTACGAGCTACCCACTAACTCACTCACCAATAATTTTTTAAAAAGTATATTAAAAAAATTGTACATAACATCATCGACTTATATCTTGTAACAAAAAGATGATGTTACTATTGTCTAGTGCAATGCATATAATGCAATTAGGGAGGGGTGAATATATAATTTCAAAAACAAAATTACTTACCGACAATAGTTGAAAGATCGTGGGGCGAGAAATAAATTGTATCACAACTGTCGGAGGCACATGAATGAAGAAAGGCTTCTGGGTTTGTATTAACTGGTTCAGCTACTACATCACAAAACTAAAAGTGCTCCGAGCTTTCCTGTCACGCCACCTACGTTAAACTCTCTCTCTCTCTCTCTCTCTCTCTCTCTCTCTGACTTCATCAACTTCAAATAGATAGGTACAAAGGTATAAGTTAGCAGCTGGCCTTTTAAGTTGCATGGAATATAATATGAAAGGAATAAGAAGGGGAATTTTCTCACTAAACCCACAATGATTCGAAATTAATTTTCGTTTCCAAAAACACATCTCTCATAAAACTAGACTAGAAGTATCTCATTTTTTTTTTTTTTTATTCAACGGTCAAATGTACACAAATTAGTTTACGCTTATTTTGACTAATCTCTTTTCTAGTCTGGTCAAAGATATGTCATTTACGCGAGGACTAAGATATTTCTGAAAGATAAATTACTTATGATTTAACCTCAAGTGGTTGCCAAAATTTAAATTCGAAACTAGAAATCTGTCATAGCGTCATTGGATAACAGTCACATTGATCGCCAGCTAATGGTTCCAAATGTAATAACTTGAAGAATTATAGGAATAAATAATACTATTTCTGAAGAGGATTTTTCTTTTCCTTTTTTTTTTTTTTTTTTTTAATAATGTGAAGTTTTCATTCATAATAATGTGCAAATCTACATCATATGCTAATGCTAATTCCATGTGAATTTGAAAACTGTGACTCGTTGGATGAGTTAGCAAAATTAAAACCCTAATTGGCCCTTTTGAGTTTTAACCTCAATTCTCCATTAGTTGTTTGTGCTGAGCAGAAATTAAGAAAAAAAATAAGAATAAAATGTAGAAACACATGATGAATGAATATCTTAATCCCGACTTGAATGATTTATTTTTTATCGAACTAAAAAAATGATTAATCAAAATATGCGTAAACTAATTCGAATACCCTCGACCATTAAAACCCGGAAAAAAAAAAAGTCAGAGCATTTTCCTATTAAAAAACCATCCAGCATTATTTTTTGACCTTTTGGTAATGGTGGCGTAGCAGATAAAGAACAGAATGGTGCGGCTATCAATACAGATGCACAAAATCCTATCTCTCTCTCCGCCTCCTTTCTCCCAAGTTCCAAACCACCCACCTCCATTGTCGTCTATTGTCTCCACTTTACTTGTCTCTCCAATCTCCCTCTGACCTCTTCTCCACCACCAAATTCTCATTTCACACCAAAATCGAACACTCCCTTTATCAAATTCTTCTCTGATCAATATCGCCGACAATGGTGACTCCCCAACCAATCAAACTCGTTCAGTTTTTCGCTCTCCTAATCGTTTCGCAACTCAGTTTCTCACAGTCAATGTCGACAATAACTGCAATGTCCAAAGACCAAACAACCTGCACAACGTGCTCTGCATGTGACAACCCCTGCCAACCCATTTTCTCTCCGCCACCCCCAATTCCATCCCCGCCGCCTCCTCCACCAGCAAACAACTGCCCACCGCCACCGCCACCTCCATCATCGGACAACAACTGTCCGCCACCACCGTCACCACCTAGTTCCGGGGATTACTACTACTCACCGCCTCCTCCGGCGGAGCCATCAGTGCCCACATTTCCATATTATTCGCCGCCCCCACCCAATGGTGGCTTCTATTATCCACCACCGGATTCTTACAATTTTCCCACTCCACCACCTCCAAACACCATTATGCCTTACTTTCCTTATTACTATTATAACCCTCCGGGACAAGCTATGATTTCCGTCTCCGTTCAATTGAAAAACCACCTCATTACATCCTCTATTACTGTTTTCTTTTCTTTTTTCTTCTTTCTTTAAACAAATTGTCTCTGTTCTGCCGTTGATTTTGTAAGTTTCATCTTCAGTGCTTAACCATGTGTATTACAGAAGAAAAGCCACATCCCAATCAAAGGAGCAACAAATTAAAGAAAAGAAGAAAAGGACGAATCATTCCAACCAGGTATCATGAATAAGAAAGGTGGATTGAACGGACCTCTCACTCCTATCCTATGTATTCTCTGTAACTTTGCCATAGTATTTTGCGTTGTAATTCTTGTTAGAATAAAGTGATAAAATTACCAATTGTGCTTGTGCTTGTGCTGGTGCCCACAAGTTAATTGCGTAGGGGTGATAGCAAGAAAACTAATCCCACCAAATACCATGAATTCCACTATGCGGATTGGGATTAATGCCACTCAGTTTTTCTTATTGTTAATTGAGCACACCGGACTTAGGGGTGTTCGTCCTGACCTTTCGTCTTTCTATCCGATATTTTTATGAAATAAATTTTTTTTAACTTATCTTACCTGATCAAGTATGATATTTCTACTGATTTTCAGCCAAATTAATTAGATAGGAAGTCGGGTAAGAAATCGGATAAACACTTTTATAGTTATTAATTTTTGAATTATTTTAACAATTCAATTAGATAATATGTATCAATTTAACAACACAATAAACTAATAATAGTAAAACTCGAAACAATTACAATAAAATACAAGCAAGCATAAATTTCAATCCATCATAATTATTGTACAAATACAATAATAATTATTTTAAGTTTATACATATATATGATTAGAGTCTAATAAATTAATGCAGATAGGGTAGAGTAGGAATATAGAAATTAATGGTCATTCCGCATTTCTATCATTTTTAATCAAAAAACCAAAAATTCTTCTACATTTTTACTCGATTTTTTCAACTAGCCGTTGAATAGGGTCGAATAGGATAAGAAATTGTGCATAATCAAAAATTTGAACACTCCTAACCTGACTAGATTCTAAATTGGCTAAAATACAATTTTAGTTCTCAAAATATGCTTATAGTGTTTATTTGATCCTTGATCTTTTAATTGTATTTATTTGGTCCATAAAATTTCTAATTTGTATCTATGTGGTTCAATTTTAAAAGTCCGTCAAAAAATTATGACAGTTCTAATCACTCGTCAATCACGACAGAGAGGATCAAATTTTGTGTCCTCTAAAACTTCTAATTTGTGTCTATTTAGAACCATGTGATTGACTCGCGATCAGAACCGTCACGATATCTTGATGAACGTTTGGAATTAAACCACGTAAATACAAATTAAAAACTTTAGGAACCAAATAGACACGATTAAAAAATTGGGAATCAAATAGATACTAAATACATACTTTGAGGATTAAATTTATGAGTAATGTTATTTTGATCTAAAAATTTTATCTAATTTGCTCACATAATGATGTGGCTTCATAGGAATCATTGGATCAATACCAACTTCCAATGTTTGATGGAGTCTACAATCAATCCAAATATCATAATGAATTAGATCAATAAATTATGTTAATAAATTAAATCTCAATAACATTACTCTAAATTTATTATTCGAGACTTGTGATTTGCTCAAATTTCATTGCAATAGCAATGCAATAGATACTTTTAACGGTGATTAATCATTGCATACATAGAAGATTTAAATACTTAAGCGGTGAAGGTACTCTCTAAAAAATTTCAAGTTCAATACTTTACAAGCTACTTAAGGGTTACCCATCCTTATTTTTCAAAGAATATGTTCTTCAACTAGCTCAAGTTATAATCATTGATCTTAAAATTCGAGGAAGTAATCGACACAAATTTAAACACCCTATAACAAAAAAATATATTTATATATAAAAGACTTGGTCCGTCTTAATGGAGTACACAAAATTCATATGTTCCAATTTTTTAGTTCAATCTTAAAATTGTTTTTTGAGCTAATAGGATTTTTAGTCTTTAAGGGATGCACATTTTATCAATTTTATTGTGTTTAAATGATTTTCACATAGATTGATTATTAATTTTTTGATGAAATGATCACGTGTTAAACATGTAATATCGTCTAAAAAATAACGCGTGATCACTTTTATTAAAAAACTTAATCAATTGTCTGGTTAGGGATTAAAGTAACACGAATTTAAACTTTAGAGAGTAAATTAATAAAATTAATATAATAAAAACTAAATTAATAAAATATATACTTTAAAAAATAAAAATACTATTAATTTTTTATTTTTTGTAGCTCTATCTTTATGATTGCTTGTGTGGACAAGAGGGTTTGATTGAGATGTAGGAATATTGTGAGGTAATCAATTAAAAGGAAAATGTTACACAAATCAAATAAAATTTAAAATTTAAAATTTAAATCTATATCATTCTTTAAATAAGCGTTGAGTGAGTGGGTTCCACCGAAAAAATTAATAAGACCCGTTTATCTAATAAATGATATGAATTTGAGTTACAAATTTTTAAGCTTCATTTAATTGTTGTATCATTGCTCGGGGGTTGAAGTAAGGCCGGATTCGGCGTAGGGAAACATGTGGTCTTCGTTGGTTACAGAGGCTTTGGTCTTGATTGTTTAATACTATGGAGGTGGAGATTCGTTTTGGGTTTGAATATTTATGAGTTGCACATGCAATACAAGTATATAAAATACACTACCATGCATAGATAATTGAGTTATGGAAACGTAAAATGAATGGAGATGCAAAGACATGGGGAGTAAGTATTGGGGGTTGGGTGGGGCGTTGCTGTCATTGGACGTAGGTAATTTTCAGTTTGGTTGTCAACCACCCACCAGAAAGATATTACTTTAGAGAGGTCCTCACCAGATAGAGATAGACTGTAACTTGACCTAATTATATTATATTAGAAAAAGGGTATCATTGGTGGTACCATATCAAAAACTATAATTTATTAATGTTAAGTTATAGTAATTTTTAAAGGTATGATCAATCGTTGGAAGTCGTAATCGATATCGAAGTTATAACTTTCAAATGTTAAGTTATTTTTAAAGGTCAACTTACAACTCATAAGAGAGAAGTTGTAAGTGTTCAAAGAAAATCCATGATCAATCATGGAGACTCTAATTGATCATGATCTTCCTTCAAACCGTTGAGTTTCCTATTATATTTAGATAGTTAGGTTTTCTAATCTTCTTGTCTTTTTTGTTTTGGCCCATAAAGTGGAAACACCGTATGATGGAGTCCTTTAACTGTGAATACCCAGTAGCTATTCCACTGCCTGTCTAGGGTAGGATGGCCCAATCCTGATTTGGAATCACCCCTGATCCATGTTGATCCATCCTGTAAAAACAATAAATCCTCCTTTGATCCTAGCTAGCTAGCTAGCTAGCCAAATGATTGTAAGTGGTGTAATAAAAGTTAACCTTAGTATGACAGGCTAAAAACTCATCAAGGAGGAAAGTGAAAAAGACCATTATTTGCATAAACACCCTTTTAATTGTCAACACTTCTATTAATGCTAACAAATACAAGAATGACATCCCCTTGATCTTTGCCCCATGAGTTTTATGGTTCCCCACAACAAGAGTGCTTAGGGACTTTTTATTTCAGCTGTTCTAAGAGTTTTAAATAATTAAAAATCGTCCAATAAACACCTTGTTCCACTCATCTTTATAGTTGAAACTGGTCCAACAGACTCCTTGTTGGAATTTCCAAGCAACATTTAGACTTTTTTTTTTTTATATTAGAACACATTTTGTAAAAATATAAGGGTCTGTTTGATTTACATCTCAAAAAATAGTATTCGAAAACAGTTTTTAGGAAGAGTTTTAAGAATGTTTTTAAAATTTTTAAATTACAAAACTTGTTTGGTTATATATTTTGAAATATAGTTTTAAAAATAAAAAATTATAAAACTTGTTTAGAGAATAATCCACAAAATCCCCAATTCCCATCCCTCCATTTCTTTCCCCTCTCCCTCTCTCCACAAAACTCACACAGAGAAAAAATACACACAGTAAAAGCACACACTCACACACACAGACAACTCACATATATGTACATATATATACACATAGATATGTATATATACACATATCCGTGTATATATATATATATAATAAAGTAGATTACAATTCAAATTTCAAAAGATAAACAAAATGACTTTTACTTTTCGCAGTTCAGATCATTTAAAATTTTACTTTAAAGTTAATCTAACATCTAAATTAACACTCTAAATTTAATAGAAAAAATAGATCTCTAATGGTGTATTTGGAATAACTTTTTTAAAGTACTTGTAGGAATTATTTCTCATAAGTACTTTAAAAAAAATAACATTTGAAACCGCCGCCACCAATATCACCGTCGCCGCCTCTACCACCACCGCCACTACCACTACCACTACCACTATCACGCCGTTGCCGTCGTCGTCAGCACCGCCACCATGGTGATTGCCCAATTTGGATAAAAAAACAACGAAAGAATGGGTAAAGTCAAATAGTCGTCTTCACAATCTACATACTATGACTAGGAATCCGGTACAAAAAATTCCCGGCATCTCGTAGAAAAAGAGTATAAACCAAGCAAAATGCTTTTCATAATTTCATTTTTTTTTTGATCATACATAATCGTCAAAAGAATTTGGTTCTTTTTACGAGTTTGATGTCGATAAATCCGCGACTATAACAATCACCATCTCCTATCACTACTATTGTCATCCACCACCTCTCACTCTCACTACAGTCGATGCTTAAATTTATTTATTTCTCCTCTAAGTTTATGATTTAATTTTGAATATGAATACAAATATTTTTATTATTAACCATTTTTTATTACTTTGTGTCTTTCAGACACAGACATTTAGTGTATATATATATATATAACACCCTGCATTTTCTTTTATATATGTATATAGATATATAGTAAATAATTGTGGTAAAAAAAATGTGGATATATGTAGTGATGTGTGTTTGAATTTGGTAGATTGGAAAAGTGGAGATTTAAAATGTTAGTGAAAATAATAATTGAAATTTGGTTTTAATAAGTGAAAATATGAAATTTTAGGTCCTAAAACTTGTATTAAATAGGTTTGGTGTAGAAATATGTGTTGGAGAGGTTTGGGATGGATTTGGTTGGCTTAGGAATGGATTGAAAATGAAAAAGGGACGAAGACAAACTGTAAACAGTGCATTGCTGCAACTTCAAGCTCGATTTAGACCTTGATGCAGTTAATATCTCTCAAAACTCAAAACATGAAAGTTTTAGAGTTCTTTCGTATCATTCTACAACATCTTGAATCATCTCAATCAGAGCTTGAATGAGAGAGTTATGCTCAGATAACGAAACGATGTCAAAATAGTCCAACTAGTTTCATTTTGCATTTAATGTCTCTATTTGCATCCTAAATCAAAATATAAGAATAATGAGTACTTTTAGGCTTCAAATAAGTATAAAAGACTTTAAGAAACACCATTTATCACATTTTATTTGCAAACATCGCAAAACTTCATTAATAGCCGATTCGGATGGGTAAAATAGAAATTTTAGTGTTTCGAGTGTACGTTGACTTGGGTTTTGAGATAAATCATAAAAATAAATGTTTTTAGGTTAAAATAACATTAAAATGAATCTGGAACGTCGACAAATCTTAGAGTAGTCATATGGATCAAATTAGAGATTTTTAGTGGCAAAATCATAAATTTGGAGAAACCCAAAACAGCCTATGAACAGTATTTTTCGGGGCTGCTATGTTTTAAACTTGTTTTCATCTCATTTGCTCTCATTTCCTTCACTTCCCTCACACCCCCACATCTCTTGAAACCCTAGAGAGAATTAGAGAAGAAAAAAAAAAGGGAAAAACAAGAGATTCAAGGGTGATTTAAAGTCAAATATTTTTGTTCTTCATACCAAAGTTAAGGATTCAATGTAAGAGTTTTCTCTCATTCACTTACATTGAGGCTAGGGTATTTATATATGTATGTTTTGGCTATCAATGGTATATATATGTTATGAAATTATCCTCTCTTAGGCTTTTTGCAAGGATTACATGTTTTGAACAAAGTAGGGTTTAATACCCATGAAATCTTCTTTCTAGTTTTAAAACCCTAATTTTTGGAGAGTGATGTATTTCCTTCCTAAATGCTTTCTTTATTATAGATTTTGAAACTTTAATGCTTTGTGTTAGGTAGAAAAATGATGTTATTGTGATCTCGTGTATTTTCTTAGTTAGTTGTGAAATTGCTATATGATATATTTTAAGGATTTTGGATAGATGCTTGTAAATTGAGATAAATGTTAGAATTGTATGTTTGGTTGGGTTGTTTGTGATGCACATGAGTGAGAGGTTCCTTGTAAGGATGTTCATCCCTTCCCAAGAGATTCCCGGTAAAGATGCTTAAGAAATAATGTAGTGATTGGTGAGAGGTTCCATGTAAGGATGCTCATCCATTTTCAAGAAGTTTCATCTAAGGATGTTCATCCATTTTCAAGAGGTTCCCAGTAAGGATGCTTGAGAATCAAAGGTGATCTAAAGGGGGGTGGAGGTTACCACAAAGTATGCCACCTACCAAAAGAATTGTTGAAAATTGGTTATGATAATTAATGGTTATTATTTGTATGTGGTGCTCGTTTATTCATTTAAGTAATGTTTTAAATAAATTTGAGATCATTTTTAAATGTCACTGCTTTATTTCAAATTATGTATCTATGTTATGTTAAAATTGAGACCAATCGTTTTAAATATTTTTCTAAACCTTGTATCAGTTTGGGAGAATTTTTCTACAGAGTTTCGTGCTCACTCTCTATCGCTAACATTTTTCAGATTACCCGCTTGAAGAGGAGGACGTAAGGATCGAGGAGCCCGCTACTTGGGAGACTCCACTGGATAGGAGTGTGGATCCCGAGGTGGACGCATAAAGCGACCTCTTTTCCTTTTGTACTAGACTAGGACATTCTTTTTAAACATTGTGTAGTCTAGCTTCTTTTGTTTATTCCACTGCGCTTCTTTAATTAATTTTTGAGATGTAATAGTCATGACTTGGGCTTATTCTTTTGGATAATGTTGTAAATATTCATGGATGACAAATGAAGTCTTGTTTCTTAAGGGATTATTTTAGTGCTCTCATGATATAAATAGTTTTAGAATGTAATGCCGTCTAAGGTGTGTTTTGGGGCATTACAATATATTTGTTGAGTAAGAGGATACACGAGAGAGAGCAGATGAGAGAGAGAAGAAAGATCAAGAAAAAAAAACCAAATGTCATAAATCAAATTCGTAACCCATAAATCAATCAACATACTTCAAGATCTGAAGCCAGATGCCAAAAAAGAAAACCCACTATGTGTATGTTAAAACCAGATCTTAAACCCAGATGCAGGGGAGAAAAAAAGTCATCGTTGAAGGTTTGATACAGCACAGCGATCGTTGAAGCAGCATAGAGAGAGAGAGAGAAGAGATCATTGTAGAGAGAGAGAGACTGAGAGAGAAAAGATCATTGTAGAGAGAGAGAGAGGAGATGGAGAAAACATTTATGTGGAGGGATTTTATAGTTCAATGGAAAAAATATATTTTGCTGTTAAGAAAGTTTGATGGGTAGACCTCATTAAAAAGGAGGGGTTGCTTCCCTTGTTTTCTATTTTGACTTGAAAATTCAGAAAACATCATTTAGTTGTTCTCTATATTTTGTTCTCACTTCCCATTTTTTTTAAAAAAATTGTTTTTGAAAATTGCTAACCAAACAACATCTCGTAAAATTTTGTATTTTGAAAACAAAAAACAGTTTTAAAGACACTAACCAAACAGACCCTAAATTTCATATTAAGTTCCAAATATAAGTGTTCTTGGGATGGGATGGCTCCTATTAGCTCTCCTCCCTAAGAAATAATAAATGCATTCACTTCCAACTATACGTCCTTTGGGAATTGACACAATGATTTAATTTAATCTAAAATAAAAGAGTAATGCTAAATAAATTTAAAAAATAAACTTGATAATTACAATTATTAATTTTATTGTGGGTGTCAACATTTATTACGACCCATTATTTAATCAGTGGTCGTGATTATTAAATTTTCTTTTTAAGTTCATGTAACATTACTCAAAATAAAATTATAAACTCAAATGTTGTGGTTTCCTTGAATTTAATGTTAACAAATAAAATTGAATTTAAGGTTTACCATGTAAAATTAGATTTAATGTGACCCAACTTGAAGAATTCCTTTGTAGCTTGAAAAAGAACATTACATTAACCCTAAGAAGTAACTCAAGTAATAATAGGACGAGTTATAAATTCAGACATTCTGAACTCGAATCTTGACAACCCTTTGGAACCCTGGATAATAAGAAAATTTTTGGATTTTTTAGGTGTAGGTACAATTTTTTAAACTTATTTGAGCAAAAGTGTATGAATAAGTTATTTATTCTATTACATACAATTTTTATAAAAAATTTTGTGTTTAAGCACAAAATTCAAAATGAATTAAATTTTTTTACCTAAACACCCTTCCTTAATTTATGCAATCATCATTGACAGTTATTTAAGGAAATAAATATGTAAAGATTAACAATAATAATGAGAGGTAAAATAAAAGTTTATAGAGAGCGAGAGAGAGAGAGAGAGAGAGAGAGAGAGAGAGAGAGAGAGAAGCAAAAAAAGAGGTATTTCGTACTAGAAGATGAAGATGAAGATGAAGGAGTATGGGTATATATATATATATATGTCGTCCCATGCCACCAACTTTGCTTCCATGTCATCTGACCAAAATGCATAAAGTCTTTTACTATATATATATAAAAGAATCGGTTAAAATGTTTTGTTAGATATTATGTATTGTTCGTTATTGGGATGTAGGAAAAAAAGAACTTCTTTGTTTTTTTTAATGGGTTTATCTGTTTTTTAATGTGTGTAACTATTTTTTTAATTGGTGTAACTGTTTTTTAATGGGTGTAATTGTTTTTTTAATGGGTGTAACAATCACAATCTCATGCAATTGTTAAGGTATGATGGTGTAACGATGTCACAATACTAAATTGTGCAACTATTTAGTTTATGTAACCAAGTAAATGACAAATTGAGTTAATGTCATAATTTTGTGTAACTGTTTGGTTTATTAAAACGTAAGAATAACTGTTTGGTGTATTATATGACAATTATAACTGATTAGTGTAATTGTGTTGTTGTAATATTAATATAAATAGAGTAAGAGAAAATAGGGAGAGAGAGAGAGAGAGATAGAAATTGTTAGAAAAAATATGCAAAAGGGTTTTCATTCATATGCTGTTTACCGATGGCAATAGTGGCATTTTTAAAAAATATGTACTTTATCCTAAATATGTTTTTGACTTGTACTTTTATCCAAATAAGTCTAAAAAATTGTACCGACTTCTAAATTTTCCAAAAAAATTTTCTCATAAATTCAAAAGTCTTTGACCGAACCGAAATTAATAACCGACTCAAATAAGAAAAAGAACACTTCATTTGATAGATTTACTTTTCATTTTTCAACTATAGTATTGCAACTCCAACAACGTTGGAACTTGTAAAGAAAACTCTCTGTCTCCGCAACTAAATTCTACAGGCAAGTAACAAAATGAAATCTCTAGTTCATCATTACATTTTTGCAAACAATGGAAAATGGTAAGAGTAGACCGATGATCCTGAAAAATGGTCAATTCACCATTTTGAACCTTATAGAGAAGGATTTTTTGTCCCATCTCATTCTACCCATACCGCACTACTTTCCATAAGATTGACTGGGAGAGACTATGTTAAGTACTGATTATCCTGTAAACCAGAATACAAAAACGAAGGGTGGCTTGCGAAAATCATTTTGAAACAAATATACACATTTTTCTGCTCAAGTTATTCGGGGATGACACTAGTACTACTGGTCTACTACACACTACTATTGATCGCCACTGCTCTTATCAAACAAACAAAAAAGAAGAGCCACATGGACATGCTAATGGTTACACTTACACCGATCGAACACCAATTCTCACCACGAAGCATTCTCAAAACCTTTCCATGCGGAGAATCAGGATCACCCCTCATTGCGTTCTGTCTCCAAATCTCTGAGCTCTGTATAATGCCTCCTCGGCCGTATCAAGCTGCTCCGGCCTCCACACAATCACACCACCACCACCACCTTCAACATCATAATAACTATCCTCCACAGTTCCGTCAGTAGCTCTTGTTATAGACTTTCTTGTATCAACCATCTTCACTTCAAACAAAGGCGACGGCTTGTGGTGCTTGAAATATTCTTCATCATATTCTTCTTGTTCTTTTCTTTCCTTCCTTCTGTCAATTGTGTGCCCTGGCCATGGCATTCCATCCAACCCTGCGCAGTTTACTGCTTCTATCCGCGGTGGTGGTGGTGGTGCCGTAGTAGCTGCGGTGGTGGAAGTGGAACTCTGGCGTTTTTGTTGGGTGGTGGGATCGATGGGCGGGCTCACACCAGTACTTTATAGCTTTGGGGATGGTGGATATGGTGGTTTTGGGGGCACCAATGGTTCTTTTTCTATACTGGGCTTGTTTCTCTTTCTGGCTGGCTGCCATTAACGTTTCATCATCGTTTATGCCCTGTAACCCGAGAGAAATTAATTATCAATTTATTTGTTGATAAATTCTTAGGACTGCTTATATAAGAACTGTTTCATGTTCGATTCAATCATGCCCAAGTCCGTGTTATACCAAAGTTTATCCTAACTATACATGTCTTCGTCCCATTATAGTGTATGATCTAGTTTTTTCCATAATATGAATCATGTTTAGAGATTTGATGTGATATTTAACTCATTCCCGTCAAATAATTATTTAGAATAAATTACATATATAACCCTTGTGTCAATTAAAATTACTGAATTTTTTTATATCAATTGAGTCTTTAAACCCTCTAATTATATCAATTGAATCACTCTTTATCAGATTTTTTAATAAAAAAAATGACAAAATGTGTTACTCTCATGACACAAATAGTTGAAATAAACTATACGCATGATCCTGAAACTACAACACTCCTGTCAATCTCTCGAACAGTCAATTGAATTTTTGAACTCTCTAATTGTATCAATTTTTTTGAAATTATTGTATCTTTTTCTTCAACAAAATCACGTGAGTGACATATTAAAAAATAAACAAAATGACTCAATTGATATAAAAAAAAAAAATCAAAGTTATCATAATTTGATGGTCATATATATATATATATATATATATATAGTTTACTCAATTATTTATTTAGGAATAAAATGATTTCTCCCATTTATGACTTAAAAGGTTAAAACAAAACTTATAAAATTTTATGTCAATTTCGTGTTAGATTCGATACTTAAAACTGTTGGCGAATTGAAAACCAAGAATAGTTTATGCGAGTTAAATTATAGGGCTTACAGGGTCTTGTTCGGAGTGAACGGCGGGATCAGCAGTGCGGCCGGTTGAGGCAGAGGCAAGTTTTCGAGGCCGAAGTTGCTTGAAGAAGACTCTATTAAACCTTCTCGTCGTGGCGGCTAATGTCGACTGCGTTGTTTTTTTTTTTTTTTTTGGTCGGGTACTTTTTCCCTCAATCTCTTCGAATTCTATGCTGCAGCTGGGTCTATTCGAAAAGAAACACAGACTGAATTGAGAAGATCAGGTACTGTTGATGTTCCCAAATAAAAAAAAGTGTATCTGTTGATACAGCTACGTGTAAATTTCTCTTTACGTGGCAGTTATTTCTAGTGCTTGCTAGACTCTGCGTGTCATCCTCTTGGCCCCTTTTTTGCCTTGCGTGTCGTGTTTAGAAGTGTGTAGAAGAATAAGGAAAGAGTAGTCCAAGCGATCAATACTACTTTCTAGTTTCCACTCTATATGATTATTGGTTATGGACGTCATACCCTTGTTATTAATTCAATGGTAACAAAAGTTGTATTTCGCAAATGGGATTTGATCTTCCCACCACTCCAAACAGTCAATGAATGATTACACAAAACACAAGCTATCTGATATGGAATGAATGAAATCTACACGACACTCTCAACAAGAACAAATCATCTGTGTTAGTGCTTACATTGATTCCAGAAATATTAATCCATCACTTTTAATCAACTTTCTGATTTTCCAGTAAAATACAGGAGAGATTGATTGGGTTAATAAACAAGAAAATGTAAACCGATTTAAAGGTCTCACTGACATACATAACATATATTGGTTAGAGCTTCTCAATCTTCTCCTTTTTTTTTTGGTTTCTAAGCATAGACAGATCCACAAGAGAGAGCCATCAGCAGTATAGCCGCGTGTTCTTCCTCTTTTAATTTGATCATATGCTTTGCTGATCTCTGCAACACCATCTCTGTTCCCAATGCCATCAATCTCATCTTCAGCGATTGTTCCATTTCACTTCTATTCCTCTTATCGCCACTCTTGTTATTGTTCTTCTTCGTCTTCTTCGTATCCTTCTTTGATCTTCCCCTGCTCAGACCCAGAAGTTCCCTCCTCTTCTTATTGTATTTGATTCCACACGCATTACACAGTGACTGAAAACAGAGTGAAAAGACCAAGAAATCAGAATCAAAAGAGACCCAACAAAGAGGTTGAGATTGTGATGAATATTGCGGCTGGCTTACCTTGGGACCAGCTGGGCCTCCTCTCCAAAGGGGTGTTCTCGTTGTGTGACAATCACTACAGCTTTTCGTCTGGCTTTGTGGAGTAGTGTTATTTAGATGCTCGAACTGTGATCTCTGTACCACAAAGTGAGAAAAGATTCGCCACCCATCACCAACTGATTCAGATCAATATCCAAAGTTAAAGCGTACTACCCATCAAAGAGATGATGAAAACGATTCACTCACCTTTTCTTCCAGATCCGTCATCACTATCGCAGCTTTTGGAAGTTTAATAAGCACCAGGACAAGTAAAGTATTGGTGGGTTTGATGATCAAGCACTTAATGACGACACATTTCAAAGCCCCAATCAATTCATGAGCAGAGCATAGCAGAGCAGAGAAAGAGAAGAAAGAGTGAAACAGAGACCGCTTGAAGCAAATCAAAGCGGAACAGGTTTACCAATCGTACTCAGAGAGAGAGAGAGAGAGAGAGATCAGGGTTAATGAGTAATGAAGGGTCGAGGTTTGAACTTGGTGTTTGAGGGCTATCCATCTAAATAAAGGGACGGAGAGAGGAACTGTGGAAGTGAAACAGGGGATCCGTGGACACTGATTAGCCGGACACGAAACCCTAGCCAATGCAATGACCAAGATACCCCTATGATTACGACTCACTATACTCTTTCTATTTTCGTTGATGTGCTTTCTTAATTATTTGTAAGGAGAATCGCAATTTGCATTCTGTATAATTTATGAATTTTTATTTTATTTTTTCAAATATTTATTTTTATACATTATATTTTTTATGTATTAAAAATATTATAATATAACTCTTCTATTAAATTCTATTATTTGTTTTGGTCAGTATCAATGATAAGATTTTTGATCAAAAATATAACAGAAACTAAAAAATAATACACTAACATTTTTAATACCTTGAAAATAAAAATATAAAAATAAAAAGCACAATTTGCCTTCTTTTTATTTGTTCCTTGTTGGGTCCTCAAATTGAGGGCCCCGCAAGTCAGGTCCCATTCCAATTTCATTGATGAGGTAAATAAGGTGAGATTGGCATTTAGATTCTGAATATTACTATTAAAGGCAAGTCTTATTTTGATTTGATAGTCCTGAGAAGAGTTCCCCAAAAAGAGTTCCCCAAAAGACTTCATATGACAAATTCATGACGGGTATACTTCCATTTTTTTTCTTGTAGAATCAATTTGAAAAAAAAACATTAAGCACTCCCATATTCCCTAAATTTTGGGGGTTAGGATTTAAGTCAAATTTTAATATACTAAATATTTCATGTGCCTAAAGGCACATAGTAGTAAAAAAATATTGGTCAACAATAAACATATATTGTATTCACGGCTAAAATTAAATCTCAAATATAGAGAAAAGAGAGCAAAATTTATGTATCGGTTGTAGTGGTGGTGGTGGTGAGAGACAGTGATAGTTGTGGTGGGTGGCGACAACCATGATGATGGTAGCAACCGTGGATTTTGACTGACGATAGTGGTGGTGGTGATAGGTTTTGGGTGACGATGGTGGTAGTGGCAGTCATGGATGATTGTGATAGTGGTGATGGGTGTGGGTGATGGTGGTTGACAGTGACAATAGTGGTTGTGCTGGGTTATGGTGCTGGACGGTGACGATGGTGGTGATGGGCGACGATGGGTGTTTTCTGAGCGACAGTGTGATGGGTGATAGTAAATGCGGTGGTAATGATTATAGGTGTGATGGGGCCGAGTGACAATGGTTGGTGGCGATAGTGAGCGATGACAAGTGGTGGGTGCTAACGGTGGACAACAGTGGTAGTTAGATGATAGTGATAGTGATAATAAATATAAGAATGAGATGGTAATGATGGTGGATAGTGGCGGTAGACGACGATGGTAGGTGGCAATGGTGATGACGGTGGCGAGGCAGTGACTATGGTAGTGAGGGTGGCGGTGGTGGTGGGGTGGCGACGATGGTAGTGGTGATGGTGATGATAAGACAATAACGGTGGTGATAGGGTGGCAGTAGAAATGGTGGTGGTGTTGGTGGTTGTTATATGGCAAAGGTGGTGGTGGTGGGGTGGCGGCAACAACGATAGTGGTGGGGCGGTTCTAAACACTTTTTTTTTTAAAATATTTATAAAAAATTATAAGTTCTAAAAGCACTTTTAAAAAATCGTTCAAACACACCCTTAGAGTTTTGTTTCCCTATTAAATTTTAGTGTTAATATTAACCATCGAATTAACTTTAAAGTAAAATTTAAAAAGATCACAACTGAAAAAAGTAAAAATTATTTTATTTATCTTTTAATATTTGAATTGTATTATATTTTATTATATAGATTTATTTTTGTCAAAATCAACGGTACGATGAAATTTTTGTGGCCAATGATATGAATATATCATTTTTTGTAACTCGTGCCAGGACATTACAAATATATCTTGATTAGACCATACAAATAATGCGACTTATTATCAATAGTATCCTCATTAATCATCTAAATGCTTAGGATGAAAATTAATTAGACCATCCAAATAAAAATTTTGTTTATCATGGAAATGAAACACGAGGTTGTATTTACAACCCCCTTCTCCAAAAAAAAAAAAAAAAAAAAAGGGGGCACAAAAACTATTGAAAAGCCTGAAACTCTTTCTGATATAGATATATGCATAAAATTTATCCTTAAAAGTTGGATTGTAAAGAAATAGTGTTTAAGAGTTCATATAAACACATCTACAACATTCTACTCTTATTTTTAGTCAACGTGGGATCGTAATATTCTACCACACTTCCGTAATTATCATCCACGATGGTCTATTCTATCGACATTAACTTAAACGGTATCCCTTTATCTTTAGCGACTCCATTCATCTCTTAGTGTTTAATGGATAGCATTACGTCCATACATAATATCAAGTCATCAAGCCTAGTATAGAGGTCACTCATTTCATAACTCGACCACAGAAAGTTGCACCTCATACTGCATTCAATGCTATACTCGACTTGGTAGCTAATTTTGATATTAATTGTTATGAATACATTGATAAAACTTGCTCATGAAAACCAACTTGCAAGGAAACGATGCCTAAGAGTCCATTTATAGAATTCAAATAGGAGAGAAGTTCTATCCAAGTCTACCCCAACCGAAGTCTTGCAAGTCCATCTCTGATAAGAATAGCAAACTACAAATATTTTTCTTCGAAAGATCCTGAAAGTCATCTTCAAACCGATATTACATAAAATGGTGAGAAAATCTACCACAATTCAATATCAAATTGAAGAAACTGTAAGGGGTAGAACCCTCCACTCAGGATTTCGGCTTGACCTGAGTTAACCCACGCGGGCGACCCCCCAGTAGTCTTTACCTCTTTTCGCCAATAGGACCCTTTCCTAAGGCAATCCCACATCGGAAGAGAGTCGTCTTCCCCCCTCGCATATAAGCCCTTGCACTCAAAGGAGGAGGTACCCACTAGGCACCTGATCAGGTCGCTAGTGGGTACCTCCTCCTTTGAGTGCAAGGGCTTATATGCGAGGGGGGAAGACGACTCTCTTCCGATGTAGGATTGCCTTAGGAAAGGGTCCTATTGGCGAAGAGAGGTAAAGGCTACTGGGGAGTCGCCCGCGTGGGTTAACCCAGGTCAAGCCGAAATCCTGAGTGGAGGGTTCTACCCCCTACAGAAACTAAAACCAACAGTACACAACTTGTTTTGGAAGATATGAAACTTAAAGTTGTAGAGCTGATCGTCTTTCATATCAAGCCATTAAAGCAGCACGTCAGGCTATAATCAGACAATTCAATCATACTATGAGCAGACAATTATAAAACAATAGTAAGATACGGATAAAAATTCTCGCATATCTCCTTGTTACTGAAAAACCTACAGAAATCAGAATGGGAAGAGGAAAAAGAAATCCTACATACATGTCCCTTGCACCGGCCCAAACCATCCCTTCAAACAAAACTTTTGACACCTAAATCAAAATCACATAATCCCCCAACTTCCTTCCCAATCGCCTACGCATCACACACCAATCTATCACCGCCAAACTCGAGATCAACAATCCCCATCTCAACCCGACCTAACACCAATTCGTCAAAAGAGCAAACCATCTCGATTCTTGGAATTTGTCCCTAGTAATGCAATTTCATTGTCAATCTCTTATTCCTACAATCCAAATTGGATGGTTTTTATTACATCATGTGGGTTGCAAGTGTGCCAAAATTCAATGTTAACATGCCTAGAAAGGAAACAATTTTTTTTTTTTACCAATGAGCTATTTCAACATAGGTATAGATTGCCGCATTATTTCGAAAGGAAACATATTGGAAGAATTGCCAATGTTGTTCCATAAAAATTCCAAGAAAGCAAGATTATAATAGTGGTGAAAAGACAAAGAAAGACAGGTCACAGAGCATATGCAAATTGGAAGGTTGAAGAGTTTAGTGACGGTGGTATAGAGAAACCCCGAGAAAGAACTAGCATCTGGAGAAGCTGTTAGACACAACTAAGAAAGAATATAAAGAAATAAAGTTGCAGCAAAAGACAAATCCGACCCATTTAGATTGGCTGGTATGAAGCGACAGAAAATCTCACATAATTCTTGTCTTGAAACGCCACATAAAAAACCACCCAAAAATTGGACACTTTCAACCAACACCCACCAGTAATCTGGTCCAAACTTCAAGCAGTGAAAACTTAATCCCAAAAGGTAATTCAAGAAAACTTAACCACGTAATCCCAAAAGGTAATTCAAGAGATAACTGTGCAAAATTATTAACTCAGACGTCTTGAATTTGAATCTTAATAATTATTTAAAATCAGATCATGAAAAATTCCTCATGATTAAACTAATTCCAACATAAATAGTCTATCTTTAATCGGAGATTATTAAATTAAATACGCATTAACTGACCCAAATAATCTTGACCATTAAACTAAAAAAAACAAAAATTTATCCACATAAAACATACATTATGATAAGGATAAGTATTTTTTATCTGGGATTCTTACCCAGATAACTACTGGGTTTGCTTATTCTTTGTTTCACTGTTATCAAAATCGGACTGGCCGGTCAGACCGGTTCAACCGTGAATCGGAACCCTAACCGGTCCGATTCCTTAGTTGAACCGCTTAAGGAAGCGGCCAATTTTTAACAAAAATCGTGAACCGCCGATTTTATAAAAATCAGACAGTTTAATACCTATTTAAAAATTAAATTACATAAATAAATTTTTTTGCTCTAAATCAGTAAATAGTTAATTTTTTGTAACCTTATTCTTAGATAAATTATAAATGACACCCTTTCTTTTTCTTTATAATTTACTTGCACCTCTTTACTTTGCATTAAAATACGATAATCCCACTTTGTTACTTAATTTCATTAATTTTATGACAAATTTTATGTATTTTATACATATTTTATATTTTTTAGCTAAATTATTAAATTTTATAATTATTATATATATTTTTTTATTTTATGACCGATCCGACCAGTTAACCAAACGGTTGAACCATTGACCCAATCCCCTTGCCGATTCAGTGCCCGT